ATAGAACTTCATGGTTAATTGTTATGCACTAGTTACCCTATAGTCCTTCGTGATAGTCTTCTAGTCAACAATGTTTAGAAAAGGCACAACAACTTGAGTTCCCTGTCGATACTACTCCATTGTCCATGCACTAAGTGAACAAAAGAAAAGGAAATACAGGTTCCGGACTGTCAAAAGATCTTGAGCTCTCCACAAAAGCCAAATAACTACGTTCTTACTTCACTACTGCCCTAGATACTACTTATGACAGATTGCCTTCACTGGATCCCGCTTTTCTCTATTACAAGGTATTCCCCTCTGGCACATACTTAACTCTCTCTCACTCGTTTGATTTTCCTCATGCTCCTTGCATTTGTGAAACGCATGGAGGACTCTTTTGCCTATCATTACCCTTTTACTCCCTATTTTTATGTGGGGACTAAGACAGGGATCTGATAGGATCCAAATGGCCTATCTGAGAAAATTCCTCGATGAAATATAACCAAACCAACAAACAACAAAATCCCTTAGCACTTAGAGAGGCCAGACACTCTCCTTAGAACAAATTCTAATCCAAAAGTGCAAAACAACCGGAATACGTGGTGTGGAGTGAAAAATGGTGATCCCTCCCTGAATTTTGAAATAGGCTACGTACTGCATTAGAGGAGAAACTATTGCTAAAGTCTTCTCTTTCAATTGTCTTCCTTGTACTTTTGACATATCCTCCACATTTATTGCCTCTATTGATTGCAACGTTCCTTCACTCCATAAAGACATACGGGGCTTTCTGATTTTCACCCATCCTCCATATAAGAAGCCAGAAGGTGTAACATCTGCTTCCCTGAACTTAATCATCCCACCCTTTAAATATAAAGGAGCCTGATTTATCTGGCTGAACTGAATGGAAGGGGTTCAAAGCTCAATATTTCACTGATGGTAAACTTCAAGGGTTCCCCAATGTGGAACCCGATGTCATAGATGCATAGTCTTGTGCTCACAATTCATAGTCGTCCTTTTTCCATTCGATCTTTCAAAATTCTGTCTCAAAACCCTGGGTGCTTTTCAACTTCTTCACTGACTACTTCACCAAAAGACTTTCATTTCTGTTCCTCAACTCCACTATTCGTACCATAATCAATCTCAAACAGTCAGTGGCCAACCTAAAATTATTTCATCCTTCATCCACAGGCTCCATTACACAAAGACAACTTCTCTTTCTCTTTTGAACTTTTTTGCACCCAAATCGAACCTCCTGCCCATCTAGCTTTATCGAAAAACTACTGATTCAAAGGTGCCTCAAAACCAGTATCAGTCTTGATCAATCAACACAGCCGTTGCCATTCAACAAAGAACTTGAAAGTTTTAAGTCCCTTATTTCTTTTGGTCTTCACTCCTCTATCACTATATATGCTACCAGTTAGAGAAAAGAAGAATTTTTGTTCTATCCTACCATTAATTTTGTTAAATTACTGCCTTAAACTTCATGGCTAGCCACACAGGGAGAATATTAACCTCATTTTCTTACGACAAAGAGCTCTCTGGTGCCAAAGGAAGTTAACCTAGCCACTGAGGGTCCAAAACCATAGATTAACCTGCAAACAAAGTGAAGATTGAACCGAGGCAGTTGTACACTACTTTTTTGTTTTTTTTTTTCTGGTAGAAGAGAGAATGTAAAGATGGGAAAAGCAAATAGAGGAGACGATTTCCAATTTAATAATTATCACAAAAGCAAACACAGGGCTTATCCCTTACAGAATTAAATTTATACAGCAGTTTTAGAATGTTTCATTTTCCCTGATTATTGACCCTCAGCATTCCGGCCTAAAGATGTAAACTGACTCCTGTTTCCTCACGTAGTTTCTTGTTTTTCAAAGTTGACCATAGAGTCTAAACAAAGCTGTATTCTTCCTGTGAATTCTTAGTCAAGCTTACGTGAATGACTAATGCAGCATATATCTCCACCTTATTTAGGAAAGATGTTTATTTTATAGCATAAAGTTCAGCTTACGCTCTGCTCAAACCACTTCATTTTCCTTGTATAGGGTTATGCTGCTGGAAATGCCATTCCCAGCCCATTAAAGAATGTTGAGAAGGGATTTTTGAAAAAGTATTGGGCAAAATGGAAATCTTACCATAGTGGTCGATGGTCAGCATATCTTTCTTTATATATATATATTACGTACAAGTCACAGGAGGACAATTCTTCTAAAAATGCTAATTGAAATTAATCCACATCGTAAATATTAATGTAGCAAAATATTTCAGATACACGAATGAATGCCAACTCAAAGAAACTAATTCATCTTGATTCTCGAGGTGGTCTTCCTGTCTAAGAAGTGTTTCTTCTCCACTCTATGAGGAATTTGATCCTTTTATTCGTGCTTTTCTATGCTGCAGTCATGCAATGCCACATATAAAGACATTTGCCCGTTATAACGGTCAAAAACTTGCGTAAGATTTCATACCAGACTAATTCATTACCTTTATATGCTCGATATGGAATTTTGGAGTAAACGTGATGACATGAGATTTAATGAGTTTACTGTTAACAGTTGGTTAGTGTTAACGTCGTCTAACCTCAGCAAAGCTGCCTGGGGAGCACTTCAGAAGAATAATTCTCAGCTCATGATCCGTTCTTACGAGGTACGTACATCTGACACGAGAAAGATGAGGCCGATTGCTCGTGTTTCTAGATTTATTTATTTTATTAAGACGGGCATGTGCAGTTGACTCCACAGTAAAAATTTTCATATCCTGTCTTGTTTATATGACTATAATGAAATATTTACGTCTTCAAATTGATCACTGACGTAATTGGTGCATGAAAAAATTGTCAGCTTGGGGTGCTATTTCTTCCTCAAAAAAGGCACGACTTTAGTTTTTCTTGTACCAAGAGTGGAGGTTCGACACAGGTAATTCCTTGGACCTGGTCCTTGAAAGAGTGCTTAGAGTAGTACATGACTTGGAAGAAAGAATAAGAAGCGTTCTGTTTTTCTTACTCAATTCATCTCTAGGATAAGTCAAAACCATCTGGAGACTTTGAAGAAAGAACAGAACTGGTGACATTAGCATGGAAAGAAAACATGATAAGAGAATCGTCATCTGAAGTAATTCAATTGCCTATGCCTTACGAACTCCCTCCTCAGCCATATGGTCCACAAGGTCAGGCAATGCCCAATTCTTTCATGGTTGCAATGCAACTTCTTTGCATATTACATATTCTCACTTTGTTTTCGTCTCATCAGATGTACCTTGGTCTTGGGATCGTCGGTATACTCAAAAAGATGTCCATGGTGCGGTTTGGCCACGTCAAGTTCAGCTTTATGCTGCCTAGGATTCTTGATACTCCCTCTCCCCCTCTTAAGTATTTATTAAACTTCATCGATTTTACTGGTTCACGTGCATGGGTTCCTCTACAGGCCATTGTTCTTCCGACTGTAAATTTGTTGCACGAACTATTTAACATAACTCTTAGGAAAGGGTGGGAAAGTTGGCAGCAGGAGTTCATTATCAGACCTTCGGCTTCATGATACTCTTGGATCGACTACTTGACGTCGTTTATTAGAAAAAATGATTTAACATTGCATCACATCACAATGTGCTAACTGTTAATTACATGGTCAAAAACTATATTTTTTCTAATTTTTAGAAAAAAAATGAATATGGTATTAAAGTAATAGCCATATTCTCAACAAAAAAGAAAAGTGCTGGTTATATCAGTCATTAAATTATTTCGTACAAGTATGACATATGGACAATGAATCAATGGAACTTATCACTGAAATAAATGAAGAAACTTTATTAGTACAATGATTCAAAATTGGGGCATATGCCCTGTAGAAAGTAAAGTCAAATCACCCATATTAGGGCGTTCTTTAACTAGTTGGAAGATATATTATCATTATTAAATATGGTTATTTATTGGTTTGGCTTTTGCAGGAGGTGTTTTTTTGTTAAACATAAATGCTAATTTAAAAGATGACAATGTAATAGAAATTTTTTATAGTACCCGTATCTATCCTATATTGTAGTGTAAGAATTTTTTTCATCAAAAGGGGGAAGCGGTGAGAGGGGGAAAGAAATGAGATTTCCTTTTTCTTAAAAAAAAAGATTAAGTCAGAAATAAAAATATCAAGAAAGTTATAATTAAAATAAATAAATAAATATAAATTTTTTTTAGTGACGAGGAGAACAGAAGGTATGAAATCTTTTATCTTATAAATAAATATAATTAATAATCAACCGGATATATATTCCATCATACAAAATCCCACGGAATTAGTTTCAAATTTTTTTTTAACTAAAAATAAAATCCCATGAATCTCCTGACAGTTAATAACTACTCTATCAGTCTTGGATTTGATGCCAAGTTAGGTTGTATGAAAAAAGAAATAAAATAAAAATAAACAAAACATTATTCTTGGAATTTTGAAAAAGAGAGAAATAAGCTAATAATATAAGTGTCAGTCCCAGCAGGAATCTCGGATTCGCAGTTATAAGCGAAGCGCACCATCGGCATCACAATTCACACTCCACTGATCTCATTCACCAACTTCTTCTTCTTCTTCTTCTTCTCAAGAATTCAACCAAAAGATTCGAAGAAAACCAGTTTCTAATTTGTTCCGATCGGATCCCCTGATGTCGTTTGTTTCCCAATGGATGTGATCTTCGAGCCAACGAAAGGAAGAGGGTTCACGATCGAAGTGGGTTTCTTCGACACCGTTTTGGAGATCAAAGAGAAGATTCAGAAATACCACCGCATCCCCATCCCCAAACAAACCCTAATCTTTAATGGCCACGTCCTTCAAGACGACCGCGACGTCGAATTCTGCGAAATCCTCCAAAACTCCCGCATCAAACTCATCGTTGCGCCATCCGATCACAACAACAGCAGCAGCAACAATAATAACAATAATAATAATAATGCTGCCGCTGCTGCTTCTGTCAAGATCGAAACTCCCAATTCTCCAATTTCTCCTTCCCCAAATTCCAACAATAAAATGATCCACCATCTCCAATCCCAATTCCCCATCGAGATCGACCCCACCAAAGATCAGATTATTATGGAATCCGCGGTGGTCCCTCTAAACGAGCTGTCCGACAACAATTCGGAGATTGAGGTGGTCTCGGCCGCCACGTCGGCGACGGCGGGCTCCACAGGGTCGTCGAAGAAGTTGAAAGTGATGGTGAAGCCGAAATGTGGGTCACAGAAGATACCGATGGAAGTGAACGCGTCTGACAACGTGGGGGAGCTGAAGAAGGAGCTGCAGAAGCTGCAGCAGAGACTCCATTTTCATCTCCCACAAGAGGGCTTCTTCTTCATTTACGACCGTGACGTCATGGACGAGGACCGCTCCTTCCGCTGGCATGGCGTCGCCCACGGCGACACCATCGAGATCTTCAATGGCAGTGTTACCGGCGGATCTTGATTATAAAATTAAATTCATTCTTTTTTCTTCTTAATCCTTCTTTTTTAGTTAGTCTCTAGTACTCTAGTTTTTGAGACTCTGTTTAGCCAACTTTTCCAAGAATCTTGGAGTTCTTGTGCTGGGAAATTTTGAATCAAGATTCGTAAATAATTCGACGCATTTACTTTTGTCTCGTACGTCTAACAACACACAACTACTACACTATTAAATTATTTGTTGCTGATGATTTTGGAAACTAATTATAAGTATGCATTTTCATTTCTTCCTATATTGATGATCATGGTTTTGTTCAGTGTTATATATCTTTGGACATATTCTAGTGCTGCATGCGAAACCCCAAGAAGAGAGGTGCGTCAAGTTGTAAGCTTTTGCTAGCAGTTGCTAGGGAGAAGAATGGAGGACACCCGATTACAGGCGGCCGTGTGAGAGTTGATTTGTCTCAATGACTAATTTGAAACTTTGGCAGCCACCAATATTCTTCAAACCCACGAGGTATCGTTATCATTTGTATAGATAGGGAGAGAGAGTTGGGGCTTTTTTTGTATAGAACTAGAAGTTGAAAGGAAATGGAAGCTAGGATTAGGGCTAAAGGGAGAGAAGAAATAAAATAGGAGATAGTTGGGAAGAACTCAATAGGCCAGGAGAATAGATCTCTGGATCACAAATATATGTACTTATACCTGTTCTGTTTTTCAAACAAGAAAAAAATTACTAACTTTACCAAAGTGGTCATTGGTATCTGTATCTCATGGTTAAAGAGATACCATTAGTAAACTCACTTGGGTCAGACCTTTTATTTCATGAGGTTTAGAGTAGGTATCTATTTGTTGCTAGATCTAGTTCGTTCTTCTGTGTCTCACCACTGCCATGACTTCCATATCCGATAAGTAAAAAATGTTTCGAATTTTGGTTTGTTCTGAAAGCATGTGCAAACTTGTTGAACTAAACAGTGTAGAATCTGCACACAAAGAAGGAAAACGGCTTGGACGCTCGAGTCTCTCAACATGAAGAAATTAGAATTCGACATAAACATACACCGATTTCCACATCGAAGAAGCCAAAGGTTCTTAGCCCATCTTCAACCATCTACAGTAATACGCAATCTCCAATAATCATGTGCAATATGTAATTTTTCAACTTAACTGGATTCCTATGCTGTCCTCAAAATCAAGAATAAATGAAGCATCTGTTGCAAGTTCCAGTGATCAGTTGAAGCTGTGTCATGGGTTTTTCGAAGAGAAAAGTGACCGAGACGATGCTTAGTATGTTTGACCCTTTTTATAAATTTAAAAAATAAAAGAAGAAAACTATCACTAAAATTATAGTTAATTTGATTTCAGAATCATTTTCAAACCAAATCCATTTTTAGGAATTTTCTGGTAAGACCACCTTAAATTTCAAAAAGAAGGAAAACAAAACCCTAACATCATGACAGCAGACCTAGAAATCCAAATGAGTAGTTGGGCAACGAAACCAAACCCCCTAAATATAATTATGATTTAATAATATCATTCCTTGCTAAGTACTGGTATACATAATTAATTAATACGTCTCATAATTATCTTAATTATGAGATGAGAAGGATTGTAATTTATTTTCTTCTTATTATTATTTTGCACAAGTATATTGCAAGAAAAAAGGGGATCTTCTAGATAAATGGAACAAAAAGATCTATCGAAAAGAATAAAATACCGTTAAGAAAATCAACAATATAACTGAGGTCGTAAACTCCACCTCAAACAAGCATATATATTTTTTATTTATCTTCGAGATCTACCTTCATTGTATTCAAATTTCAAAGGACAGTATTTGGTTCCTTATCGTGAGGACTAAATCTCGTACTCACAACCCAAGTAAAAATTGAAAACTCATTATTTAAAAAAAAAAWATATATATATATATATATATATATATATATATATATATATTTGCATTTCTCTGTTACTTTCAATTTTATTTAAGAGTGGTTCATCCTCAACCACGAGGAACCAAATATTACTAAATTTTAAATGAAATCTGTGGTCCACGCCAGCATAAGGTTCCAAAATAAATTTTCAAAAGGTAAACGACAGGAACACTTTATTCTATTATGCCACTTTATTATATTAAATTAAAGGAGTTTTTTTTTTTTATTTGAATCAATTAAAGGAGGTTTTAAACATTCATCTTTTTCTCTTTCACAGCAATGATTTCATATTGAAAAATAAAGGTCTAGTATAAAGGCGAGATAATTCATTTTTATAGATTGGAATTTATGAATTTTTACTTTTTAATTAAAATATATAATTATTAATTATTAAGTTCATGTTGGTAGTCCATTCAATTAAAGATAAAACAAATCTAATTAAAAAATTCATAGCTAAATAAAATTGTAAAAAAAGTGAATGATATAGTGGAGTTTTACTGGAGAAAGAGTAAATACGAATGTCAGTGGCTGCCCGTGACCACGGTAAAACGGTAAATTGGTGAATCAACACACGTTTGAAAACGAGTGAAAGCCGTCTTGGTTGTCAATTTTGTTTCTTAGTTTGACTTTAGGCTCAAATATTTTCTATGCAGTACAATTCAACTATTGCTTAATGCATTAATCAACACAAAAATTAGATTGTTCTAGAAAAAATACAAATATTAAATCTGATGAAAATTTAAAAAAGTAGAGTACAAATTGATTAACCTTATCAATTTATGAAATAAAAAAATTAGAGTAAACATAATCCTTAACGTACAATTACTTTTTCAATAGAAAAACGTTAGAATTACTATTATTATTTTTCAACATTTTAGTCGAAGATATATATCTTAACTAATTAATTTATGTTCAAATTAACGAATATTCTACCGAGGGTGTATTTACTTTTGTTTTCAAAATTTTATTTATTTACTCTTTTTCTCAAGGAGAACACTGCTTAAAAGTTAAAACAAGAACGTTGATTTAAATAAAATATTATGCATTTGCATTTAAAAAGTATTATCCAAAATCAATAAAATATCAGTTTTTAATTAAAATTTTCCATAGTCAATAAATATCTATATTTTTTATTCAACTTCCCCACCTTTGAATAAAAAATAAATAAATATTAGGAGTGCATTATTGGAGCGATTGACGTGGCCTTTGAGCATCGTTCTTATCGCTTCCCTTTCTTTGGAAACGACGGTTCTTCCCAACTTGTTCTTGTAGGGAAGCTACGGTTGTTGACACATATGTTTTAACCTATACGTGTCATTCATCCACTGGACCTCCTTCGTAGTATTTTTATCTAGAACTGACGAAATTGTCCCTATTATCAGCTATAAATAAACCTCCATCGGCACTCCAAATTTTCATTCTCTATTCGTCTCTCGTCTTTGGCACCCATTCTCTCCATTCTCAAGGTTATCGTTTCTTTCGTTTTTAGTTCTTCGTTTTTCCTGTTATATGATATGTTTTTCTTTTTTGTTTTTTCGTATAATTGTTTCTGTTCTCCGTACTCGTTGGGATTGAGGTATGGGT